CAGCGCGGCGGCAAGGCGACGAAAGGGCGGGGTCTCAGCCAGGCGTTGATCAGCAGACTGAGGCTGGCTGAGCGGGGGGACTGGGCCGCTCTCTGGCGGGCGGCCCACGCCCTGGGCGCGCGCCCGCCTGGGCGCAGCGGCCGGCGGCCCGCGCCAGTGCGAGCCGCCCAGCAGGCAGAGACGCTGTTGAAGGAGGGTCTGGTCAGCAAGGCGATGACGGCCGTCGCCCGCCCGACGACGCCAGCCCAGTGCAGCGGCGTCTGCGCCACTCTGGTGAACCTTTCCCCGACGGGGGCCCCTGCCGCCTGGAGCGGTCCAGCGCCGCAGCCACTTGACGAGGACTTGCGCAATGAATTGCTCGCCGCGGTCAAAGACCACGTCCGCCACGCTCCCCGCCGGTCGGGTCCTGGACCTAACGGCTCCCGCTTTGAACACTGGCGTACCCTGCTGTGTGACACACCTGCCCTCGAAGCTTGCGCCAGAGTCGTGGTCCTGTTCCTCTACGGGCAGCTCAGCCCAGGAGCCATGGAAGCGAACCTCGGGGCACGGCTCGTGGCTCTTCGCAAACCGAATGGAGGCATCTGCCCAATCGCTTGTGGCGGCGTACTGCGGCGCTTGGCGGGGCGGGCGGCCTGCGCGGTTTTCGGGGACAGCATCAAAGCGGGGCGTGGCCCGTTCCAATATGCTGTTGGCCAGCCAGCAGGCTGTGAATTAGTCCACAAGACGATCGCCGCCCTCGCGGAGGCAAGCCCGCGAGGTGTGATCCTGGCCGTCGACGCGAAGAACGCCTTCAACAGTGTGCCCCGGCAGCAAGTTCTGGACAGCGTGGCGGCGAGAGCGCCGGACCTCGGCCCGACGGCGGCCGCTTGGCTGGTCAGGACCACGACGCGCCTGTTCTGGAACGACACCGAAGACGCCGCTCGGGTCCGGGCGACGAGCGGAGTCGACCAATGCTGCCCCTTGTCCCCTGCCTTGTTCGCCATCGCCATCGCTGGCGCCCTGGGCGAGATCCACGCCGCGCTGCAAACGCTCTCGCCCGCTTGCAAGGTCTTCAGCTACTTGGACGACGTGATGGTTTTCACTCCCCTAGAGCACGCTGCGGCCGCTGACCAGATCGTCGCGGAGACGCTCCTCCGGCACGGACTACGGGTTCAACAAGACAAAACGCAAGCTTGGACAAAGGACGCCAACGCGGCCCTTCCCCCCGCGCTCAGCGAGCGCCGGGTGCCGCACCTGGAGTGTCTCGCGGCGCCGTGGCTGGACGAGGAGGAGGGGCGGATCCGAGTCCACACCGGCACGGACGGCGCCGCCGCAGTGGCGAAAGCGGTCAGGTTCGGCTACCGACTCCGCGAGTTACGTGCAGCGGGCCTCTCAGCTGGGGCCACCTTCACGCTGCTCCGCACCTGCGCCCAAGGCGCCGTGACGCACCACCTGCGAGCCAGCCGCGACCTGTCCTGGGTGGACCAGTTCGATCAAGTCGTATTCGGCTGTCTGGAAGAACTCATCGGGGCCGCTCTCGACCAGCGCGCGCAGGCCACGATGCGCTTCAAAGACGGCGGTATCTCCTTGCCTTCCGCGCGGACCACCTCCTCCGCAGCGTATGCGGCAAGCTCGGCTCTCACCAGGAAGGGAGTGGCCCGCGCCGCCGGTTTCCAGAGCTGGGAAGACTTCCGGGCACAATGCCCCGTGACGCACCAAGCGCTCATGGAAGCCGACGCTGACCTTCGGGCCCAGGGGGCCACCAGCGGCGACTTCGATTGGTTGGGGTGCTTCCAGGGGCCCACGCCCAAGTTGCAAGGCACTTGGGGCAAGGCGCGCTCTGTGGCCACTAGAGCAAAACTCTTCCGGGAGCTCGGGGAGGACGACCGCCTGGCACTCCGCGGCGCTGGCGGGACAGGAGCTGGCAGTTTCGTCCTGCCCAGCGAGGAAGGTGGCCCCAACATGCCCGACAGGCACTTCATCACCTCTGTGAAGCTGGGCCTCCGGTGTGATGTCTGCCCGCAAGGCGCCGTGTGCCAGCGCCGCCGCCAGGACGGCGCAATCTGCGGCGCCCCACTGGACCGGCGAGGGTGGCGCGCGAGATGCTGTGGAGTCGGTCGGTCCCGCACCGCCCGCCACGACCGCATGCGGGACTGGCATGCCAAGCTGCACGCCAGCCTCACAGGCTTCGCTGCGACCACAGAGCAGCTTGTCCCTGCGTGGGGCCGCGTCAACCGGCGCACAGGCCTGCTGGAAGCAGCCAAGTTAGATGTCGCCACGACAGAACCCAGCACGGGCCGGCCCGTCTTCGTTGATTGGCGCATCACCTGCGAATGCTCTGAGTACGCCCCTCGCAGGCAAGCGCGCTCCAACAACGACGGCGCCGCCGCAGCGGCCATGGTGCGGGAAAAGCGGGACAGATACCCCCCGAGTGGGGGAGACCTCGCCCCGCTCGTCTTCGAGACATTGGTCCGCCCGTCAGACGAAGCCGCAGAGTTCATCCGGGCTTGCGGACAGAACCTCGGCGAGGCAGAGCGGGGCGAGGTGCTCGCCAGAGTGTGGCGGCAGCTGTCCCGCCACCTCCAGCGTGGCAGTGCCGAGATGGTGCTCAGCGCCATCGGCCAGTAAGGCCGCGACCACAACCACCACCAGCACAACCGCTACTGCCAGCACCACGACGGCGACCCTAAGGACGGCAACCGCCTCGATCACCAGCGCCATGACCACGACTAGCGCCAGCACGACGACCACCGCGACCACCGCCAGCAAGCACCACGACCACGAGTGCACGACAGCGCCACGACCACGACCACTACCACCTCCGACCTGACTGCCAACGCCCCCGTCCGCCCCGCCCCTCCCCTCTCCCCTTCCCGCCCCTGCCAGGCCGCCCCTGCAGCCGCGCGGGCCTTGCGCCTCCCTCCCCCTGCCTCTCCTGCTGCTGCTCCCTCTCCCGCAGGCTGAGCCGGTCCAGCCAGGGCCCGAAGACGGCTTGAGGCTCGACGGTTCCTTCGACGGTTCCTTTGGCGGCGGACTCGGACTCGCCTCACGCGCCTGGCCCCGGTGGCCACTCGTCCCAAAGGTGGACGTGTGCCGGGGCCGCGGGGAGGGAGGGAGGAGGGAGGGAGGGGGAGGAGGGAGGGAGGGAGGGAGGGAGGGAGGGAGGGAGGCGGGAGGAGGAGGGAGGAGGAGGAGGAGGAGGAGGAGGAGAGAGGAGGAGGAGGAGGAGGAGGGAGGAGGAGGAGGAGGAGGAGGAGGAGGAGGAGGAGGAGGAGGAGGAGGAGGAGGAGGAGGAGGAGGAGGATGAGGAGGAGGAGGAAGGTGATTTGGGCGATCTCGTGTACGCTGCCGGGTCCTCTCGTCTTCCTTGCCCACTCCAGTGCAGATGCCATCCTCTCAGGCCGGGCGCATCGTTTTACATATCCTCGGGCCTGCGTCTGGCGCAGGGGTGGGTGGGGTAATTGTTTTAGTTTTCACGCCCGCTGTCTCTCTCTCTCTCTCTCTCCCGGGCCACGGCTCACCTCATGAGTTTGCCTATCGCAGGTCGGCTCGTGGGTTGCGTCTGGTTTGCCTGGCGACTCTTTGAATCGCATCGCAGCTGAGATTGTGCAGAGTTGAATTGGAGTTCGTATGTTCTTGCGGGGGGTATACGTGGCAGCAGATGCAAGGTGGCCAAATACGCTTCTGCAGTGGCAGCCACTTGGCGTTCGGTCCCGAGGGCGACCGCACAGACGCTGGACAGACCGAGATGAAGGCAACTGTTCTTAGGCAAGATGGTCAAGAAAACAAGAGGTCATGATCAAGGCTTACCAGATTCCAGGATTCACCAGATGTCCCAAGGCTCCTCACGAGGGGGCGCTCGATGCCCTGGAAGTCCTGGAACGTATCCTGAGCCACTCCTCTCATGACATCGTTCTCGCCTCAGACGACGCTCTGTATCTTTCCAGTGTCCGGCAGCCCTTCATGGACACGTGGTGATCCGTGGTGATCCGTGGCGTCCCGTTGAGTGAGATCGATCGTGAGATTGATTGAGTCAGATGTTGGTTCCCCCCCTCCCCCCCAGAGGCCTTCTGAAGCCATCTAGGCCCTCTTGTGGCCTCCAATGGCCTTCTTGGGTGTCTCCCGTGGCATTCGTGGGTCTCGCTTGGGAGCCTTCTGGGGACATCCTGGGCTTCTTGTGGACAGTCTTGGGGCTCTCTGGGGCAGTTTTGGGGCCCTCCTGGGCCGTTTCCAAACCCTCTAGGGGCCCTCTTGGGCCCCACAACCTCCTTATCGCCAGAAGGGTGGTCGTAGAGGTGTCTCTGCAGCGTCCGGCAGCCCTTCATGGACACGGACCCCCGCATGCCGGCCTCCTCCGCTCCCTTGCTCGCCCCTCCCCGTCCCCCGCCCGCGGCCCTCCGAGGCCGCACGGCAGAGGCCAGGCCACTCCGGGGCCACCCGTGAGAGTTTTCTCTTTCGTCGTTTCGACATTGGGCGGATGGGTGGAGGCCTGGACTTCTGGCTCTGGACTTAAGTCGGGCCTGTCCCTCCACAAGAGGAGTATACAAAACTACTTAACAAATAGTCAGGGGACTATTTTTTGATAATTTTTTGACCATTTCGGAGTATTTGTTTGATATTTTTTTTGTTCGTCGAACATCCCCCTGTAGGGGGACACGCCCGACTTCAAATTGGGTGGAAGGGTGGAGGTGGGGTCTGGCTCTGGACCTCTGCCCAGTGCGGCTGTTTGCACCAGTGCGTCCTATTGGGGGGGACTCCACCTGCTTGAGACGGGCGCCAAGAACAGCCAAGGGCTGCTCCATGGGGGGGGGGGCGGGGCGGGGGGAGAGGGAGCGAGGGCCTGCGCCGATCGGCGCAACAATGAAAAAGAAAACGGTTACCTCCCTGAGCGCAGCCGAGAGGTCGTCATCGAGAGCAGGAGGCACAATGCGCTGCTCGGCCTCGTGGCCGCCGAGGAGGTCTCGCGCAGCCTGCGGGCCCTCCAGGCCCGCGGGCGCGTGCTCGCAGGCAAACCTGGCACGATGATGGTCCTGTACTTCAAGCAGTACGGGCCGCTGTCCGGTGGGCCGTCGGCCACGCGTACCCTCGGCGCACGTTGTTCCCATCGTGCTTCGGGGCCGCGTCCCAGAAGGAATGTCGAGCACCCAGGAGTGTATTGAAACGATGTCTGCCCCACACGCTGGCGAGGCGCCGAAGGAGTATCGCCTCCTAGGGCCAGACGTGACCCCCCTTCCAGTTTCGGTATTGTCTTGGTGTTCGACATTCTTTCTGGTGGCCAAGGCCAAAGTCGGCTGGAACCTCATGACCCTTGGCCTCCCCGCGTCGTGAAGAAATCAGGGAGCTTCTGCTCTGCTGTCTATTTGTTTGCTTGTGTGCCTCATGCTGTTGTTGTTGTTGCTGTTGCTGTTGCTGTTGCTGCTGCTGCTGTTGCTGTTGTTGCTGCTGCTGCTGTTGTCGTTGCTGCTGTTGCTGCTGCTGTTGCTGTTGTTGTTGTTGTTGTTGTTGAACATTATTTCTTCTTAAGAATAATTATTGTTGGGACCCCTGGTGCGCGACCTCTGCGCCGCGCCTAGGCCGCAGCTACATTTTCATCATTTTTTTTGCGAAAGCTTCAGAAAAGTGGATTATTACCGGATCCGGTTTTTTGTTGACGCTCGTTTTCCCTTGCAAAAAACACTATAAAATGAAAATTCTTGTTCTTAGTTGATCAAATTTCAAGAATCCCTTGCAAAAAATAAGGTAAAGTGGACATTCGCGCTCGCAAGACGAAATCCTTCCAAAACCTTAGGTTTCGTAACGATTTTAACATAAAAACATCAAAAACCCAATGGTTTTTTAAGAAAAAATTGTCAAAATGTCCTTCCGCGCGCGCTGTCCGAATCCCACAAAACCAATGGTTTTTCAACATTTATGTTACATGAGCTCGCGCGAGCTACTTTTTCTTGTTCTAACATAATCAAATTTCAATAATCCCTTGCAAAAAATAAGGTAAAGTGGACATTCGCGCGCGCAAGACGAAATCCTTCCAGAACCTTAGGTTTCGTAACGATTTCAACATAAAAACATCAAAAACCCAATGGTTTTTCAAAAAAAAATGTCCAAATTTCATCCCGCGCGCGCTGTCCGACTCCCACAAAACCAATGGTTTTTCAACATTTATGTTACATGAGCTCGCGCGAGCTACTTTTTCTTGTTCTAACATAATCAATATTCCCTTGCAAAAAAAAGTAAAGTGGACATTCGCGCGCGCAAGACCAACAAAAAACACGACGATCTCAGGAACTTGCCCCAAAAATGTGACCAACTCCGCTCTCTCTGTCTCTCTCTCTGTCTGCTCTCTGTCTCTCTCTCTGTCTGTCTGTGTCATGTATTGTATGTCACAATTGCAGGATGCTGGGCACACGCGCGCCCCGAATAAGTGACCAAGTTCTGTGGGTGTGTACCCCACGCCAGTGTAGTAGCCACGGTCGTCCGCACGCCACGAAGTGAAGTGTCCCAACGTCATAGGGCGGGAAGCTGGGTTTGGGTGGTCGCGAAGAGTCGTTTGGATATTTGGTAGAGCTTGAACTGCCCCCCCACGAAGTGGGGGTATTGTCTCGCGTCGCATGAAAACCCTGGCACTGGTGAGAACACTGAGCGTTCGGGTAAAATGATTGTTGTTGTTGTTGTTGTTGTTGTTGTTGTTGAACATTATTTATTCTAAAGAATAATTATTGTTGGGCCCCCTGGTGCGCGCCCCCCCTGCGCCGCCTAGGCCGCAGCTACATTTTCATCATTTTCGTGAGGAAGCCTCAGAAAAGAGGGTGTGTACAGGATCCGGTTGTTTTGTTGTAATCCGCTTTCCCTTGCAAAAAACAATAGAAAATGACATTTCTTGTTCTAATATAATCAAATTTCAAGAATCCCTTGCAAAAAATAAGGTAAAGTGGACATTCGCGCGCGCAAGACGAAATCCTTCCAAAACCTTAGTGTTCGCAGCGATTTTAACATAAAAACATCAAAAAACCAATGGTTTTTCAACAAAAAATTGTCAAAATCTCATCCCGCGCGCTCTTGCGGATTCGTAGGAAACCCAACACTTTTTAAACATTTCTGTCAAACGGGCTTTTGCGAGCAACTTTTTCGAACTTCTGCGACAACGGTTGCGCACCTGCCAGGGCCATCATCCCTGTCAAATAATACCATGCGGGACACATTCGTTTTTTCTTCGCGCGCGCACGCCGTCGTCGTCGGCCGCGGGGCCCTGAATAGTAGCCACGGTCGTCCGCATGCCACGAAGTGAAGTGTCCGAACGTCATAGGGCGGGAAGCTGGGTGTGGGTGGTGGCGAAGAGTCGTTTGGAAATTTGGTAGAGCTTGAACCGGCCCCCCCACAAAGTGGGGGTATTGCCCGCCTCCTATGAAAACCCTGGCACTGGTGAGAACGGAGTGTCCCCACGTGCTAGTAATTGTTGCTGTTGTTGTTGTTGTTGTTGTTGTTGTTGTTGTTGTTGTTGTTGTTGTGGTTGTGGTTGTTGTTGTTGTTGTGTGCGTTGTGTGCGTTGTGTGCGTTGTGTGTGCGTGTGGGTGCGTGTGGGTGCGTGCGTGGGTGGGTGCGTGCGTGCGTGCGTGCGTGCGTAGTATGCGTTGTGTGCGTTGTGTGCGTCTTGTGCGTTGTGTGTGTGTGTGTGCTCTACACCGCGCCGCTGCGCACGTGGCCGCGACGCCCAACTGTGTGTGTGTGTGTGTGTGTGTTTGTTTACTTCCTTCCAGACGCCCTGACTGCTCTGCGCGGGCCGCAGCGCTCAGCACAGACATGTGGCTGCTTCGGCCTGGGGGTGCCCAGCACCGCGCCCAGGACCGGGGACAACAAGAGCGACTCGGGGTGAGAAAGGCCGGCTCCGGAGAGAGGTCCAGACCTCTGGGGAGCCACGCTGTGAGAGCGTCATGACGTCGGATGTCCCGGGCAGGGAGGCCAGGGCGAGGGGGGCGGCCGTTCTGATCGCCGGGGAGCCTCCTGGAAGGCTGGGGCCTTCGCAGGAGGGCCTGGAGGCGTCCAAGGAGCCTCCTCAGAAGCCCAGATGGCCTGCCAGGGAGGCCCCCGCCTTTCAAGAGGCCCCCCCCCGTCCGCGCCTTTGTGGAAGGCCGCGCCACTCCCGCCGCCCGTGCGCTCGCCGCCGAGGTGGGTCGCTCGTGCACCCGCACATGCAGATCATGGCTCTCCCCATCGTGACCCCGGAGATGCAGCTCCAGATCGCTCATGCCCAGCAGTACCACGACAAGTTCGGCAGGTGCCTGAAGTGCCACGCGCTGCGGGACGAGCTGCTGAGAGACGACCTTCCGCGCCAGCGGCCGTCGGGGAGCGTCTGAGTTCCCTCGTGCAAGCCGACCCCGCCTAGACTTCCGACGCCGTTGCTTGACGATGTGGGTATCCCGAGCTCTCGACCCAATCCCAGCGGCTAGTTTAGTGGTCACGGCATGCTTTCTGATGCGAAGCACTTCCTGGAAGCGGAATCGCACGAAAAGCGTGGGAGCCGCCATTTTTTTGCGACGTTATGTCGTTGCGGAGGGGGTGTGGTCTTCACGAATGCGGGCGGGTGTTTGTTTGCTCGCGCTGGAGGTTGCTGTACGAGAGCCCGCACTTTCTGGCGGTGACTGCAGTGCAAACGAGCGTGCACATACCCCGCCCACCCCTCCTCTGGCCTTCTCCAGAGGAGCCTGAAATTACGTATGATCTTGATGCGTTCCCAGATTTCCCAGATTCCCAAGGTCTCCAAGATCTCCAGCTGTTCCGCGCGGGCTCCAGAAACAAGGGCTGCTAGAAACCCCGGCACTCCTAGAACGCATCCTGAGCCAACCGTATGATGACATTATCGGCCTACCCTGCCGAGAAGCTAGACGCATATCGAGGGCGGCCAAGAGGAGGGTGGGGTGAAGACTGGGGGGGGGATATCATGGCCGGGGTTGTGACATCTTCCCGGATTCATGGCCCCCTCGTCTTACTTCAAAAAGTCCTCTGGCCCCCGCTGGGCCGGGCACGCCACGTGCGCGGGGTTTACGTGACGTGTCTTCGGGACCCCTCCCTCTTCAAGAGGGGGGGGCCCCGAAGGCATTCAAAATCTGTAGGGGAGAATATCCCCGTGTCCACTCTTAGCCCTCGGCGAAGCCAACTCTTGGACTCCCCCCCCCCCCCCTTGGACGCCCCCGAGCACAGGCCGTGACTGCCTTGGGGCGAGAGCTCTACAGGCGTGCGGGAGGAGGAGGAGGATGAGGAGGAGGAGGAGGAGGAGGAGGAGGAGGAGGCAAAGGATGATGATGATGATGATGATGATGATGATGATGATGATGATGATGATGATGATGATGATGATGATGATGATGATGATGATGATGATGATGATGATGATGATGATGATGATGATGATGAGGAGGAGGAGGAGGAGGAGGAGGAGGAGGAGGAGGAGGAGGAGGCCGCGTGCCTCTCCAGCGCTCGGCCCTCGGCGGGGCCAGCGGTTCGCGGGCCCTCTCCGCGGTGCGCCTCTCCGGGGAAGTGGACCCCGCGGTGTGCCTCCGCACGTGGCCCCACCCGTGCCGTGCGCGCCCCCGTGCTTCAGGACGCGGAAGTGAGGACCGCGGTGGCTGCAGGGAGGGGCTCCTTCCTCCTCCTCCTCCTCCTCCTCCTCCTCCTCCTCCTCCTCCTCCTCCTCCTCCTCCCCCTCCTCCCCCTCCTCAGCTCCAGGCCGCGGGGAGCTGTTCGTGGGCCGAGGCTCGCCGTGGCCAGAGAAGCCCCCTCGTTCCCTGCTCGGCGCTCCTCGTGGTGGCACGATGGCAGCATAGACGTGCGCTGGTGGCAGGCTAGCATGCCCCGGCCTGACAGGGGCCTCATAGCCTACCACGCCCAGGAACGTGCGGCTTCGCTTTCGGGGGCCCCTCGCCGATCCATCCGGCCACGCACCGTCGCCTCCAGCTCCGTGTGCCCCCCCCAGAGCCCGTCCCCTCCCTCTGGTGCTTCCCCCTCCTACTCCCCTCGCCTGGGAACGTCTGCTCCCAGGGTGCGTTCTGGCCAACATCTCGCGGAGAATCCAGCCGTGGCGGCGAGGGATCTCCAGGACGAGCAGCGGTAATCGGTACAGTCAACCCGCAGTGGGCAACCTTCCCAGGGGTACCCTTGCATCCTTGCCCCTTCGGCCCATCCCGAGCGACTTTCGCCAGCCAGCCTCGCTCGAAAACCGCTTGCATGGGCCTCCAAGGCCCTCGCATCCTTACCGCGCACGCTTATGATGCGGTTGACTGTATCCTGTCCTCGTCTGAGCTCCAGTGCAGAATTCGTTTTCGCCCCCAGGTGATGCCCTTCGCGGGCCGTGCTTTCCACGTCTCGGTCGTGCCCCGCGCGCACAGCCACACCTGGCTCGGCATAGGCCGGGAGGAGGTGGACGACCTGGCCGGCGTGGTGCAGCTGCTGATGGAGACGCTGTACCACCTGCTGGACGATCCCTCGTACATCATCTCGGGGCGGCAACAGATCACCCAGATCTCCGACGCTACGTTTTTTTTTGGTGGTTCTCTCCAGAGTTGGCGTTTTTTTCCCTGACTTCGGCCTCCGGGGCCAGTTGCCGGGCCCGGGGGCCATCCACGGCGGACCCGGGACGAACAGATTCTCTCCCGGGAAGGGGTCCAGAGCCTCGGGGGTCCACACATCGCTGGCAGCGTGGTTCTGTGTCGACTCTGTCTCTCTCTCTCTCTCGCTCTCTCTCTCTCTCTCTTCCTTTCTTCTCCTCTTCTCCTCGTGCCCCTCTCTCCGCGCCCCTCGCCAGGGGCGGGCGGGGCGAAGCTCGCTGTCCCTGTTTTTTGTTGCCAGCCCTGGCCGTCAGCATCTTCTCCGTCGACTCCCCGCGCATGCTCGAGGAGTTTGGAGACTCCGTGAAGGACGCCTTCCACTGGGGCCTGGAGATCTAAAGGCCTCCGGCCTTGGCCGCTGTGAGCCCACCCCACCACCCCACCCTACTGCTTCTGCACCTCCTCCGCCATCCCTGCGACCTCCTGCTCCGTACCCCTCGCCCTCCTCCTTCTCGACGGCTCCCCAAGCAGCACGCTGGAGCACTTAGGAGCGTCGCGCTTGTTCTCACGACGTGGCTCCCCAGAGGCCCGGGCCCCTTTCCGGAGACATTTGTTGTTGTTTCATCCCGAGATGTTCGTGGCGGTCTCTCGGGGCCTGGTGGGGGCGACCCGCAGCCAAAAATTGTCAAAACATCTCTGTCGGGCTTCTTTTGGAGGTTTCTCCGAAGGGCTCAGGCGACCCGTCCTCCTCCTCCTCCTCCTCCTCCTCCTCCTCCTCCTCCTCCTCCTCGGGTCGCCTACGGCCCCGTGGGAAACCGTGCAGGTAGTTTTGCAACCGCGGTGGCCCCCGGGTCGGGCCGGCGGCTACAGCCGCGGTTCCCGTCGGACATCGGCGGGGTGGAGCTGGCCTCGGGCATACGCGTCGTCGAGGGCATCCCCACCGACAAGGCGCCGGCAGGAGGAGGGCGAGAACGAGAAGGGGGATGATGATCGAAGAAGAACAAGCTGCACAAGCATACATCGGGAGGGAACAAAAACACACAGACATAGTTCATCGTCGATCCCAGGGAAAATATGGGAACATATGGGAAATGGGGGGGATGACGCACACCCAGAAAATATGTGAGAATATAGGGAATCCTGGGATTTGTGTCCATTTCCATTTGTGTGCGTGCGTGCGTGCGTGCGTGCGTGTGTGTGTGTGTGTGTGTGTGTGTGTGTGTGTGTGTGTGTGCGTGCGTGCGTGCGTGCGTGCGTGCGTGCGTGCGTGCGTGCGTGTGTGTCCCTGGGCCCCTTTCATACACTTTCGCAGCTCCGCGCAGATCTGTCGGATCGGCGCTGGGCCCCCGTGTGGCGCCTCCGGCGCCGCCCTTGGCGCGCTCCGCTCGCCGGGGAGTGGGGTCTATCGCACAACATCGAAGGTTTATGGCTATGCAGCTTCTTGCTCCTCTTGAGGGGGGGAGGAGACGCACGAGGAGTCGAGCTGGCCAGCTCGAGCGAGTCGGGGGGCCCCACTCTCTCCGCCCCTCCCTGCAGAGGGGAGGCAGAGACCCTCGCCACCGAGAGCCCATGGGGCGGCCGACCCGCGCGCCCGTGCGCCGCCCAGTGCCAGGCGACGCTCGGGCGTGCCACCTGCCAGGGGTGGCTCCCCCCCCCCGGGATGGGCCCTCGGCGGCGGCGGTCGCTGCTTCTCCTGCGGGTGACTCCCTCGACGGCACGCAGGAGCCAGTGCTGGCACAGCTGCGCACCGATCCCGGCGCGCGTGCATACCTTTGCGAAGCGGAAGGCGCGCGCGCAGGCCCCGCTTCTGGCAGCCTGGCGAAGGGCGGGGAGGACACGGCTACACATTTTTGATCCGCGGGTCGAGAGCGAGTCTCTTCCGGTCGACGCTAAGCGGGCCGCGCACAGCTTTAATTGACAGAGGGGGGAAGGCAGAAGGAAGGGCCTCACGTCAAGGCCAAGAGAGGGCAAAGCCCTGGAATCAGGCTGTGCCGAAGGCGATGTGCATGCAAAGAGGAACGCCTTGTACAGGAACCCCGTGGCGAAGAACCGGAAGAAGCAAAATGCTGTGGTGGTGGTGCCGTCAGCGGCGCGTCATGTACACCAGCCTCAAGTGACCGCGGGAGAGGACGCACCACCTGACACGGCTACACATGAACAGTATCTTTCGGAGCTCCCTGCGCTGGGCCCCCCTGGCGGCCCCTCTGGCGCCGCCCCTGGCGCGCTGTGCGCTCCGCGCGCCGTGGGGGGGGGGCTCCAGCGCCGATCCAGGAAATCCGCGCGGAGCTCTCCGCAAGTTTGTGTGTCTGCCAGTTTTTCTTCCCCTAGGGGAGTCAAGGGAGGAAAAAGCACCCAGACCCCCACAACTGGCGTTTGCTACACGGCCCTGGGCGTTCGTCGAAAAGCACTGTCTTGTTTGATCCGTTTTTTGGGCCACGTTTGCGAAACGTCTTCGCTCGTCGTTTGTTCTTATGAGGGTGTTTTTTCTGTTCTCTGAGGGGGGGAGGGGTACGCAGGCTCGACAAGGTCGTGCTGGAAGTCTATCCTCGATTCATGCCTCCGGGCGGCTGTTTTCGGGCCCCTGGGGAAGACGGGGTCGGGCCGGGATTGGAAAGCTGGGCAGGATGCACACCAGGAGAAGTTTGGGTTTTGCTTTTTGATTGATATTTTGTCAGCATAGGAGAAGGAGGAGGAGGAGGAGGGGGAGGAGGAGGAGGAGGAGGAGGAGGAGGAGGAGGTGGAGGAGGAGGAGGAGGAGGCGGAGGCGGAGGAGGAGGAGGAGGAGGAGGAGAGAGGAGGAGGAGGAGGAGGAGGAGGAGGAGGAGGAGGAGGAGGAGGAGGAGGAGGAGGAGGAGGAGACGCTGCTTGGCGCCGCCGCGCGTACGTCTGCACAGGCGGGCACAAGAAAGCGAGGGCTGGCAAGGACGCCTCCCTCAGGGAGCTCCGAGCGCACCCACGCCCACCCAAGGGATCTCGGCGAGGGTGCGGAGCACAAAATTGTTATGAAATATGGATGTCAGCCTCACACTTGTGGGGATTAGAGTCCTGGCTGCCTGTTACTACTGGAGGGCTTCACAAGTAGCCTTATCCACTGAATCTCGGGGTCAGTGGCCATCAATGGCCGTGGCGGGGCGAAAGTATGTCCTCTGTCCCGTCCTTCGTCGGCGGGGTGCTTTCCTGCGAGAATACGCTTTCGGTTACGGCAAGCCCTTTCAGACTGCCGACCTACGTCGGCCTCACAGTCTATATGTAGATGCCCTGCTGTCCTGGTCGAATAGAAACCGCACGACACGCATAGGATACAGTGGCCAGGCGCAACCCACAATCGGTGGCCGCGCGCGGCCGTGGCATGCACAATGCCCGCTCGCGGCACTACGGCCGTTGGGACCCTAAATTCAGCCTCACGAGGCCTATCGTTTCGACCTGTCCCCTTGCGTCGGCGCTTGACAAGGACAAAGGCTGGGCCTTCACGATCAGGAAAAATAGCAGGGTCGACATCTCTCACAGCCTCAACGCGGGCCACGGGGACAACCGAGGGGACACTGACTCTCGCAATCGCCTGCTGGAGTTCACGAGCATCCACGGTGGAGGTGGCGACAATGGGATCGAATTCCACACGAGAGCGTACATTCCGCCTTTCTGGGCTGGCAGGGTTAAATCGCACAGGGTCGGCGGTCCGCTTTCTTCCTTCCCGAGTTTGGCCCGAACAGTCCCTGGCAGCGGACCCAGGGTCAGCAGCGACAGTCCCGAAGTCACCCGCACAGTCAACTTCGCTAGGAGGAAAGGAGGCACGCCCTGCAGCATTCGTAGCAGCTTCATGCTCTCTCGCGGGGCAAGTTAACTGCTTAAGTCTCAAGAGCGCCTTCACAGACCTCGCACCTTTCTTATAGAAACTATATCGAACAAAACCAGCCTTAACAGGAAACAATGCTGCAACTGAAAAGGTGGCGGGGAAGGCACACGCTTGGGTTTGCCTCGGCCCAAGCGGACCTGCACACGCTGACGGGTTTCAAACCTCCCAACGCTCGTGACGGCGCATGGCCTTCTGCTGCTCAGGCAAGGCAGCGTGCAAATCTCGTCCTGACCTCGCGGCCAGGTCCGCCCACCCGTTGCCTCTGGCAGCCTGTGAGCTCCCTGTTTGGTGGCCACGTACGTGTGAGACCTGTATGGCCTCTCCAAGGCGTCCGTGATCTTCGATTATGTGTCAAATCGCTGACCACAGATCGGCGTTGGGCCGTCTAGGCCCGCATGTGTAGTCAGGGCCCCAGGACAACCCATCAATTATACCCATGCAATCTGTCTACACATGCACTGGGGTGATACATACTTCAGGAACCTTCAGAAGCGCATGTAGCTCAGCCCATGGGGAACTCTGAATGGGTCCTGGTAGCGCCCCGTAGACCATGAGCTCAATCCTAGCTGTATATCTGACGAAGCCTCAGCCATCCCTCGACGACTCGGGCCAGAACCATGCCTTTCTGCACGCACCATCTGTGAAGATGTCGCCTGTTACTTGGTCGAGTGTGCCGTACTCGACGTGCCGGCGATCACTATCGTCTCGCCTAGGCTAGGACGGAAAGCAGGATCTGGATGCCGTCCCTCGCGTCCAGAACCACGAACCTTGAGTGCGCGATTGGGGGGCTCTCATGTCCGTATTGCCTAAAATGGCCTGGCGCTGCTGTTCGCGTCCTAGACATTCCCAAACGATGTGGTCTGGTGTACAATACTCGTTGGGGCAGAAGGGGCAACGCGGGGTTAGCGAGTACCCATGCTTGTAGAGCCTGTTTGGGGCCCAAAATCCTCCGCGTACGCTTGTGCGCAACATTGCGCTTTCTTCATAGGTTGGGCTCCATTTTGGGGTAGGCTGTTGGGGCTCATCGGGGTCGCCGTCGCTGTCGCCTGGCTCCTCAGGGGCGCCGCCGAGGAATCCCAAGACAGGCCCCATCCAATATCCGATCGGCTCTTTCGGGTCCATCCCATTGTCGGCGGGATTCGCCCTCGAGGCCCAAGAAGTCCGCGTCTTACGAACAGCAGCGTCTCTGGCGAGGTCGTGAGCGTTAGCTGGAGCTGAAACGCGGGAGTCGATCTTGTCTCCAAGATCCGTTACAACCATGAAGGCGGATACGGACCTCCACCCGATGTCCCTCAGGGCCAGCAGCATAGCCCCCGTCGTGCCGCATGCCCAGTCCCCAGGCTTGACCGCCTTGAGCACCCGAAATACTTACCTATGCCAAGCCTTCCGCACCACGTCGTGAGAGATGCATCTATCCTGCGCCAGGAGCACCCACTGGAATAAAGGTTGGGTCCCACAGTGGACCGGGGGATCATCGCCTTTCCCTGACACGCAGGAGGAAATCCAGGCAGAAGTGGTGGACCCTGGCGTGTACCGCGTACCTCTC